AATAGCATAATGGGGCGACAACCAGTCCATGCCCAAGATAATATCGAAATCTACCATGCTGAGAAACAATAAATCATCTTTAGTCTCAAAACCACTAAGAGCAACCAAACACGACCGATAAATGCGGTCCACAACAAGAGAATCTCCCACAGGAGTAGAAACATAAATAGGAGAACTCAAAGAATCCTGAGATACTCCCAAATACGGAGAAAAATAAGAAGACACATAAGAATAAGTGGAGCATGGATCGAATAGAACCGATGCATCTCTGTGACAAACCAGTATAATACCTGTGATGACAAAATCGGAGGCAACAGCCTCGGTACAGGCAGGAAGGGCATAGTATCGGGCCTGGCCTCCCCCTATAGGGCAACCTCTACCTCCTCGACCTCCACCTCTAGCTGGCTGAGCAGGTGGGGTAGAAATTGGAGCTATAACCATAGCCTGAGAACTCTGCTGGACTGACCTCTGAAAGCACCCCGCGCAGGAGGCACGCTGGAAACTAGAGGTGCATAATAAGGCTCTTGAGGCCTAGGAGGAGCTGGAGCATTACTGGCTACTGGAAGAGCTGAATGAATAGGGCGACTCATATAACCCTTACCATGATGACCTGCAACTGGGGTACGGGCACCAAAATAATGCGACTCTCGAGACCTCTTGGCCTCCCTCTCCTCTCTCTCCCTCGCATGCATACCCTCAATCCTCGTAGCAATGCTCACCACTTGCTAATAAGAAATATCTATCTCCAACTCACGAGCCATGCTAGACCTGATGTTGGGAATAAGCCCCTCAATAAACCGGCAAACCCTCTCGTGGATAGTAGAAACCAAGGCTGGTGCATGCCTAGCCAAACTGGTGTAACGGACAGCATACTCTGAGACAATCATAGCACCCTAGTGCAAATGCTTAAACTCAGCACGCCATGTGTCCCTGAGGCTCTGAGGAACATACTCTCTCAGGAACAGATCTGAAAACCGAGTCTATGTCAGTGAAGCAGCCTCATCCGGACTGTCTAACTCATAGGTGCGCCACCACTCATAGGTGGCTTCTTGAAGCTGTAATGTAGTGAAGGAAACCCCGCTCGATCCTGATATACCTATGGTATGAAGAACGCGGTAACTCTCATCTAGAAATCCCAGAGCATCCTCCGATGCTATACCACTGAATACAGGAAGCTTGTACTTCTTGAACCTCTCAAGCCTCAGTTGTTCCTCCTCGGAAGTCGTTACCCAGTCCTCGGGTTGAACTGGCACTACAGGCAGTACAGGAATAATCTCAGGAACCTGCTTAACATGCACTCGCTGCTCAAGAGTGCGAGTGGCGGTAGTCTGTGCTCCTCCCCCGGCCTGAGATGTAGCTGCAGCAAGGGGAAGCAACCCTTCTTGAGCTAAGGTGGTGTACATGCTCATAAACTGCGCCAAAGTCTCCTGAAGGGCTGGAGTAGTAGTAGCAGTAGGCGTATCAGGTGCCTGGACTCTAGCTGGAACTGCGGGTGGTACCTCGGCGGTAGCTCGCGCAGGTGCTCTGGCTGCACCACGTGCGCGTCCTCAGCCTCTACCCCGGCCCTGGCCTCTGATGGCTACAGTAGGGGTGTGGGTGCCTGATCATCTCGGGTAGCACGTGTCCTCACCATCTGTGAGAGAATAGAAGACAGAAGCTTAGAATTGTGATGTCAAAATATCGCACGACAAGGAATCAAATGAAGTGGAAATTTTCCTAACAGTTACATAGCCTCTCGTAGATAAGTATAGACGTCTCCGTACCGATCAGCGAGACTCTAATAAACTGAATTGTGATCCATGACTCCTATGAACCTAGAGCTTTGATACCAACTTGTCACGACCCCGGTTTACCCTCTATGAACCATCGTGATGGCACCTAGTCTCTACGACTAGGTAAGCCTAAATTGCGGAAGAAAACAAAATTTGCGGAAAATAAAACAACTTAAAATAGTAATAAAGTAATAACAATGTTTAAATGTGCCACTCGGCATACACAATATTCAACCCTCAACACCAAAATATAAATCCAAGTCCCGAAAACCCACCAATCACAAGCTAAGATCAATACTACATAGCTTTAACTCCGGAATGTCTAATAAGAATAGAAAAATATATAAGGGCTAAATACTAAAAGCAGGAATAGAAAGGGACTTCTCGGTCTGTGGATGCAGCAGATGTACCTCGAAGTCTCTAGAGCAGTCGCCTCCTCAAGGATGATAGGCCTGAATAGCGGTACCTAGATCTGCACATGAAAAACATGCGCAGAAGGGGCATGAGTACAATACAGCGGTACTCAGTAAGTGCCAAGTCTCACCTCGGTTGGGTAGTGACGAGAAAGGTCAGGGCCCTACTGAGGTTAAATAAATAATAAGATGACAAGATAAGATAAATAGTACAATTGAGAATCTACAGTAAGAATCTACACAGGATAACAAGGAGTACAATAATGGAACAGAAATAAAGGCAAACACCAGGAAGTACCACTAATAACAAGGATGATAGTCGGGGATCTCTTGGTATCCTCAATATATGCTAGGGATCTCTTGGTATCCCGGGGATCTCTTGGTATCCTCAATATATGCTAGGGATCTCTTGGTATCTTCAATATACGTGCTAGGGATCTCTTGGTATCCCGCACCTCAGTTCAGATCATAAATACGTACAGGGGATCTCCCCTGATGCCGTCCCGTAGTCCCAAAATAAAAACACACCGCAACAACACAAGAATACCCAATTAGGCTAAATTTCGTACCAAGTAAATAGTTAATTCTAGCATAACATGCTTCACGTAATGCAATTAAGGAAGTTTAAGCAAATAGGCAATTAAGTCAACTAAACATGCTTTTCTACTAGCAACAGGCTAAATTCACAAGTAGAATAAAACAGGAAAAAAAACTCAATTGAAATACTTAAAGAAAAATCGAATTTTTAACAATTAGCTCAAGTACGCGTTCATCACCTCACGTACAAGGCATTTCAATTATCAAATATATCATATCTTAAGGGGAAGGTCCCTCACACAAGGTTAGACAAGCCACTTACCTCGAGCCGGCTCAAAATCAACCCGAAATCACGTTCTTGCCACGAGTACTCGACTCCAAATGGCCAAATCTATTCAATTCAATTGCATAATGTAAATAACACTTCAATTAACTAATTCTACAATTAAATCATAAGCTAATACGTGAAATTATGAAAAATAACCAAAATACCCCTCGGGCCCACGTCTCGGAATTTAGTAAAATTTATATTTTCAGAATCCTCACGCTCTCACAAGTTCATGCATACTTATCCAAATCTAAGGTCAAATCCCCAATCAAAAGTCGAATTCTAGGTCTAAGAACCTTCTTCCAACTTTTTCCCAATTTTCATCTCCAATCCAAAAATAAATGATGAAACTAACTATAGATTGATGGAATATAACTAGAAAGGGTCAAAGAATCGTTATCCAATGATCTCCTCCTCAATTTCCTCTCAAAATCGCCCTCTCCCGAGCTCCAAATCGAATTTCCAACTTTTGAAACTAAACCCTCGAAATTTCATATTTCTGCCCAGTTGTTTCCGCATCTGCGGTCAAGGGACCACATCTGCGGTCCCGCTTTTGCAGACCAAAGGTCGCATCTGCGACTTCTCACTTAAAGAGGACTTTCCGCACCTGCGACTACATTATCGCATATGCGGTGCCGCTTTTGCGGTTACCTGACTGCATCTGCGGACTTTATCCCCTTCCTCACTTTCGCTTCTACAAATTCGTACCAATCCTTAGAACACCTAAAACAACATCGAAATCTCGAATTAACCACGGATTCCAGCCTAAGAATTCCAAAATTCTCAAAATACGCTTTCGATTAAAGAGTCTATCAAACCTCATCCGAATGACCTGAAAATTTGTACACACATCACAGTTAACACTACAGAGCTACTTCAACTTTCGGAATTCCATTTCCGACTCTTGGATCAAAATCTCACTATCGGGTTGGAAACTTCAAAAATTCAACTTTCGACATTTCAAGCCTAAATTAGCTACGGACCTCTAAAACACAATCTGAACATGCTCTTAATCCCGAAATCACTCAACGGAGCTAACGGAACTATCGGATTTCCATTTCGAGGCAGTCTTTGCACTGTTCCGACTACGGCCAACTTTCCAATACTTAAGCTCTCATTTAGGGACTAAGTGTCCCAAAACTCTCCGAAACTCAAAAGCGAACATCCCGACAAATCAAAATAGCAGAAATAAACTCAGGGAAAGCAGTTAATAGGGGATCAGGGCGTAAATTTTTAAGACGACCGGCCGGGTCGTCACACGAACACTCCGATAATCCTCTCAACAATATAATGTGTGCCAGTAACATAACAAATACAATATAACAACTCGCACCACATGTGCTCATATTGTCACGCCCTGAACCTAGGGGCGTGACAAAAGTGGTATCAGAGCATAACATCGACGTAATACTGTGGGGCGTAACATTATTTCCCCCTTTGGAACATTCGTCCTCGAATGTTGACTGATGCACTTATTATTTTCATAACTTATATCTTCCGAATACTTTAGAACTTCCCTTGCCATCTAGGCGACTGTTCTGTGAATAAGTCCAAAGTCTAGGGCATTCCCCCCTTAGGCCTCCTTCTCACACCACAACTTGTAGTTGGAATCCTTCTAATCTCGTAACTGTTGCTACCTTTCATCATGTAGCCTGTACGATTTTGACCTTGTAAAGGTGCCCAATCTCTAGGCTTCATATGTAGAGCGTGATAAGATGTCCCTTTGGGAATCTATGAGTATACTGAATTTCTTCGCTCGGTACTTTGTTGAATTCATGAATATTGCTATATCTTATCGCATAGGTCCGTTTAGCCATCCATATGAATTTACTGCCATAACTCTTACTTTAATATATCGTTGCTGAGGTCTGTTACCAAATCCCAGCTTACTCTCATTGCTTATTTCATATGTATAATTTTAAATCCTTTAATGCTTCATCATTACTGCTCATCTTTAGAATGACGGCCTAATTTTATCTCAGACTTTAGCCATCCATATGAATTTACTGCCATAACTCTTACTTTAATATATCGTTGCTGAGGTCTGTTACCAAATCCCAGCTTACTCTCATTGCTTATTTCATATGTATAATTTTAAATCCTTTAATGCTTCCTCATTACTGCTCATCTTTAGAATGACGGCCTAATTTTATCTCAGACTTTGTGACTTTTGAGAATGAAATTGAAAAGTAACTAACGGTTCCTCCTTTGGAGGTGTGACAAAAGTGGTATCACAGCATAACATCGACGTAATACTGGGGGGCGTAACACATATGCAACAATATTTTCTCAAAACAATTCAAATACCGCAACCGCACATAGCCCTCAGCTCAACAACACTGAGTACAACGACAACAACAATAACACGAAAGTACGGCAAGTAAATCAACACAAAAATTACAAAATAACACAATGAAACGGAAGAACGAACTCATAATGATAGACATAACAAGTAATAATAGCTTCAAATAAGAATAACTCAATAATGAGAGAGATAATGTGTAACAATGATATCAAATAAGAGTAACTCAACAATAGGAGAGATAACATGTAACAATGATTCCAAATACAAATAACTCAGCAATAAGAGAGATAACATGTAACAATGTTTCCAAATAAGAATAACTCAACAATCAGAGAGGTAACTTGTAACAATGACTTCAAATAAAGATAAGCCAATAATGGAAGAGATAACAATAACTTCAATTAAGGATAATCAACTATGGAAGAGATAAAATAGCAATAAAAGAGGTAACAACTTCAATTAAGGTATACAAGAGTATATTTGGCAATGAAGGGTAGAACATGAACGAATAAACTTCAATTAAGACATGTAAGGGTAAATTTAGCAATGAAGGATTTAACATGATAAGACAACTTCATTTTAATGTACATAAGAACATAAGAGTTTAAACAGGTCAAATTTCTACATATAAGTCGTGTATATACTCGTCACCTCGTGTACACGTCTTTCACTCGGTTCAAATAGTGCAAGTAAATCAATCCCTACGGGTAGTTCCCTCACACGATGTTAGGCAAGATACTTACCTCAAAAACCCTTAATTAATACTCTAAAATAGCTTTCCCTTTACAATTCACCTCCGCTCGACCCAAATCTAACTAAAATTGACTCAATAACATCAAATAATGCAAGAGAAATCAATTCCAATAATTAAAGCTATGATCTTTACACAATTTCTCAAAAGTAAACAAAAGTTAATCCCTGGCTTGCCTGGTCAAAATCTGAGTCCAAGGGTAGATTCCAACTACCCATAACCCCACGAGTTCATACATGT